ATGAGCGCGTCGTCAATTTATGACTACGTCGGGTAATTCAAATTAAGTTATGATCTGGTGAATAATACGGGGTCTTACCTAGAGGGCTCGACTCTGAGGACCCAATCGACTTCGTCGCCATAAAATAGATAGGCGTGCATCAGCCCCCGTTGGACCAAAGTCCACTTATCCGTTGAATTGACCACGGGCACATAGGGTTCCAGTTCACCATCCATTTTTCCACTCACGAAAAGCAATACATTGCAGTGTTTTCCCCATGTGCGTTTTACATATTTGGCTGACTCGGGACCATTATAATTATAAGGTATCATGCAGAGAATTCGAATCTTCTCGTACAGCGGATCCAACGTATGTTTGTGACCACTTTTTACCGGTGTCCTCTCAACGGCAATGATATTAAAATATAGGGTGATCGCCAAAAACAAAAGTAAAACCAAAAACAGGTAAAAGCAGACACGTCTAGGCGGAGTCATGACTTCAAACTGAACTATTATTGATTTTAGCTCGCATGGGGAAATATTCCATTTAAGATAAGACATTTATCAACCAGCAGATAGAACTTAACCCTCTTGATATTTCGGGGGTTCGATGTGCACTCAGGCTTGGTATTTCAAAAACGCACGGAAGCCATGATTTTAACCGGCTTTTGTTTATGGTTAAGTGATTTTTTAGTAGGAGTAGGAAGCGAATTCAATCGTTAGACAGTTCCTATAATTAAACATTGATTAGTTTTTTTTGCACATAAAATAATCTTGATTTTGCGGTCGTTTTAATTTCATTAAATAAAGCTAAATTGGTGAATGGTTTGATGTACATTTCGAATAGTTAATTAAAATATTTATTTAGCCAGCAAAGTGCTAACTCGATTTGTTGGGCCAATTAAACATAATTACACGATTCGTTGGCCGCTGGGAGCAGCATTTTTGATAAGATTAGCAGGCTTTGATTGCATTTTGGAAATCCAATCAGGGAAAGGTCAAATGGCGTGGTCGGCGGTGGAGATAACGAAGTAACTATGATAACCAAAATGTACGCTACCATCGAATAATCAGCTAATTCGGCAGATAATTCGTTGACTGAAAATCAATGTAATTATAATAACACTAAGCACTGCAAATGGGCACAATTAAAGCGTAATCCGAAAAAGGGGTTATAAAATGTAAATGGCTGTCCCCCAGTCATCTTGGAATTTAAGTGCATTTCTGTTGAAAGCAGATGAGTACCGAAAGAAAAGAAGATCCAACAACCTGCTGCTCCGAGTCTCCTACGAGCCGAGCAAACATTGAGTTACGAAATAAAATCTTTGGCCCATAAAATTAAACCGCAGCCAAATACGCAGAACAGACAAAGACGGCAAAAGAAAAACAAATTGTTAAGAGATGGAGGGAAAACAGGCTAATCTCATGGCGCGAGCTTATCAGTAAAACAAACCTGCAGCAACCTACTTTATATGTATCTGTATCTTTGTCTGCATCTCCATCTGCATCTGTAACCGCTGTGGCTGGCTGCTGCGAGCTCCCAATCCGTGGCCCAATCCCATTTTCAAACAGAGAGAAAAACTTGGGTGAATAAGACAATAAAAAATTTAATTAAATAAATGTTGTTCATCTTACTTTTTAAATAATATTAAATGTATCTATATGTCTATATATCTTTTAAATACACAACTAAATTAAAAATGAAGTAACGGAAATTAAGGAAATATTTTAAATACTAAGCTTTAGCAAATAAATTTGATTTTTACAAAGTCCATTTTGCTCCCATTTCTTTCCTAAAATAAATGATATTAAGTACTAGAGGATCCATTGTCAATATTAGTTTTGTAGACACCACTAACATCACATCAATAAACAAATATAAAAAACTATTAAAAACATCTTGCTTAACTGAGGGTTTAACCTATTTAACCTATTAACCTAACCTATTACCCTAACCGATGTTTTTCCCAGTGCACTTTCAATCCCATTCCGAGTCCCAAATCCAATCCGATCCCCCCCACCGCTGCACTTTGATGTTCCTCTGATGGTAGTGCCCGAGATAGGAACAGTTAGCGCATCGCAGTTAACTCGTTCGGCCGGAGTTTTCCTGTTGGGTTTTTATGAGTTGGGTTCACGTCTACAGTATCTTGCAGCGCGCCCATAACTTTGAATCGTACAACTTTTATTTGCATTTTTATTTGTTTTTCTTTTAGTCGGGCTTCTCGGAAAACACCAACTTTTTATATATTTTTATGAAGATAGAATTTAATTTCGCTTTTGTTTGGCATCCCAATTGAGGTAAATATTTTACTTGAATTAAGCACAAAAGTTGAACCGAAACCGACTGCACTTTTGGGCCCTCCAATCTCAAGTGCACGGATTGTTATATTTATATTGCAGAGTTTTTAGAGCGCAGAACGTTTGTCAGTTACTAATTCGCATTCCATGCTTGACCCAATCCTAAATTGCCTTTTCATGCAGCTCTCAGAGCCAAGCCCAAATTCAATTTGTTTTTATTTCTATTGGAATTTCAATCAGAAAATTCTTTAATTTTCTTGAATGCAAGATTGTTATTTGTTAGGTAAATTGCAGCAATTGTTGCTGTTTGTCAGCACATGTGCTCAAAGATACAGCCTCCCAATTTATATCTTTCTGTGGTCTGCCGCAAACCAGGCACGCAGAACTCTAATACAGATTATTTATCTAAAAAAAAGCTCTTAAATTTTCGCTATCTAACCCCCGGGGCAAAGCTTTTACTACACTTCACCATATCTACATATATGGAGAATATTTTGAGCAAATATTTTCACAAGCGCCGCATTCCGCTTGCCATTTACAAAGGCAAACACATCAAATTGCAAAATCTTTGCCTTGGCAGAGACTGTTGCTTTTTATATTTATTGCCTTTGTTTGCCTGCATTTTCTATTTGTTTTTTATTTTTTTGTTCTATTCTCAAACTTTTCATTCACCTTTGAGTTAAGGTAAAATCCAAGTAAATAAAGCAGCGTTCGAAATGTTTGCTCAAAGTCTAAAGCAAAAGATGAAGACATGGCGGTTGTATTTAACTCATGGCATTATGAAAAAGCTCCACAACTGACACGCGGGGCAAACAAATTTTGAGGCACTGTGTGGCTCTTAATAAGAATCTTGGTAAAGCATAAATAAACATTTCATGGAGATATGAAAAAAACTGGATGGCTATAATCGCCGGTAATCGCCCTTGAACATTTAAATACTTGTAAATAACTTTTGGGTTTTAGGTCAACGAGCTTAAATTAATATTTAAATATTGGCTCAATACAATTTACACAGCCATTGTAGTTTTTTAATATTTATTCTTCTCGAGGCTGATATCGATTTTGAATGCTTTGGCATGTAATATATGTTTTATTGGTACAAGCAACGCGTTGCTGACCCCATAAATATATTTATAGAAACATGTAGTTGTTTAAATTTGGTGACTGTTTTGGAGAGACAGCGGGCTTGCCAATTTTAATTTTGTCTTTTGTTTTGGTTTGGATTTTGCTTTTAGCCGCCTGCACAAAAAGTGGGTCAAATGTTGCGTATGACGTTGCTTTTCAGCCAGCGGCTGTTGGCCAACCGGTTTCGCTTTCAAACATCGGCGGCGATTCGTCTGAGTTGGGAGTTAGTTTGGATCGTTTGAATATGGCTGTGGCTATGGGCTTGGGTATCTTCCAGCTTCCACTTCCAGCTCGAAGTTGACTTCGGTTTGGGCCACGATTTTGGCGCTTAATTGAAAATTCAGTCGGCCAAGCCAGCGTGTTGTGAGGGGGCCATAAACGTGGGCTAATGTGCATTTTATTAATAAATTGTCCGCTTCATTAGCTCGGAGGTTGGGCCCTCTGCCCTCTGGCCCTGCAACCTGCAACTTTCACCGATCGGAGATGCATCCGATGGATGGGCTTTTAATAAATTGCCCTTCGGTTGCACTTTCTCGCTGGTTTCGGTTTTGGATTCGGAATCCGCGATTTGCATTTCGAGCTAATTATGTTGTTTATGTTGTATAATATTTTGATGTGCCATGTGTGCGATCTACACATGTTTTCGTGGCAGCAGCCGTTAAAACCGGCAATGCAAATGCAAATCAAAAACAAGACTGAAAATAAAAATGGACATGCTGTCTGCAGTCTGGAGTCCAAGGTGAAAGCATAGACAAATTGCTATATTTGCCTGAAACTGGCAATTTTGCCTCATAACCGATTGGGCTTCAACCCATTAGCCAGGCAATTAGCATGGCTAACATAAAACGCGATACTAAAACTCATTAGCAACAATTTCAAGTATGCACTGGAACTATTTGTTTTTGCCCGGTAATGGCCTGCTGTAATACGACGTAATAATCCAGAAATGTTCTGCTAACCAAAAAAGTCAATACCTTCGTCTTTCTTTGTAGCCAGAAGCTTTCGATATGGGGAACGTGGAACGTGAGGGGATTACCCGAGCGACTGACCACGCGCTTGTTTTGAATTTTTAGGAATTTCTTGGCATTGTTTCTACCGCCACCAAAAGCCGCCTAATGAAACCATTTGCACACATTGTGGCAAACTGGAACTGACAAATTGGCGGGCGTTTTTTAGGCCGGGCTTTGCTTATTTTTACAGTCCGGTCGACAATAAAATCCATAGATCATTCGAGCCCTTGTGAAAGCGGTCTCCGGCTAAATATTCATAGGTTCTAGACATGAGGCTAAGTTAGTTAGGCGTCTCTCATAGGGGGATATGTCATAAACTGTCAAATAAACTAAGAGCGATCGTAAATCTCGACTGCATTTGCAATTAATAATTATTGCTTTGCATAGGCGGCTCGCAGGTGAAGTGGGTTCCCACCGATATGCAAATGCCACCGCAAGAGGTTCTTCCCCCGAACTTGGACCATTTCGTACCACTCCGATCAGCGATCACCGATCAGCGATCACCAATCACGGATTGCAAATCACGGATCGTGAGATAAATAACTTTTACTGCGCTCGCATAAATGCAATTTATTCGCACCCTCACATGTGGATTTCTAGTTAGTTGTCGGTGATTTGTTTACCCATTCAAATGGGTATAATAATAATGAAGCACGGAAACGGCAACTGGCATTGCAACCGGCAATCTATAAATACAACAATAACGATAATAATAATAATGATAATAAAAAATCACATGGCGGCAAAGAGCGACAAATCCGTTGCCCTGTGAGATAAATTTCCATAGAATTCATTCCATTTGTTAATGTCGATTGCCGGTTGGTTCAGATTGCAGATAGCGCAATGATAGTAAGTTAGTTGCAGTCGTTTGTTCACGTTAATCGGACCCTATCTCGGCTGATGGAATGCGGGACTGTGGAGACAGTAAGGTAAAGCTGGGAGAATTTTCAGAAAGCATTTCCTCTAGAAGATAGAGCGGGGCCCAAGACCTACCACAATCCGTACTGCCTTCGGACCTGGCCACGTTTTCCGGCACGGGGTTAACTGGGAGTCACGTCCACAGAACCAGCATCGATGCTAGGAAAACACTGTTTGAGATCATTTATTATGTCTAAGTCTATTGTCTCCGCCAGCGATTTGCATACCTATACATGGATTTACTAGCTTATCAATGCGAAATTACAATTGCACAAATGCATTGTGCACAACTGCTGGCAGTGGCAGTCGAATAAGCTATCACGTCCTTAGCTCAATGTCAAATCGAACTGTCTCTATCTGTCTATCTATCTATCTACGGCAACTATCTCAATCTGCCGGATTGTTGGGTTGTTCGATTGCTGGGTTGTTGTGCTCCGGCATTTGCTTCAGACCGAAGCTCGGAGCTATTTATAAAGCTCAGCGGAGCGGGGAATCCCCGCCTGGCAAAGGATTTGTTCGCCATCTGTTCCTGGCGTCAATCAAATCAGCTGCTGCAGCATCAATGAATCAATTTGAATGTCAACTGATTGATGGGAAAATAATAATCAAAGGGGCTGACAGATGGAGAGCTGCCATACGGCACTCCTTCCTCCGCAGATAATTAAGCTATGGGTATTTAAATTGTTAGGTATTTTGTGTATAATTTATTATTAATTAGTTGGTGGCCTACTTAAGTCTAGTAACAATATGCATCTTCGCGTTTCCATAAGTACTGGATACAGAGTCATTAAGTACAATCTGGCGAAACTAACTAGCTAACACATTTAGTAGCGAGTAGTATGTTTAGTAACGTCTTTTTGATAATCACAGCGCTTAGTTTAATTACATAAAGTATGTCTTTCCAGCATGAATATGAAGGTATCACAGAGCTCAGTTGCGTGGATTGGTATCCGCATGGGCATCCATTTGAGGTGGCACTACCGCTTGACGTCGTCTTTCACCTGGCTGTCTTTCGACTTCGATTTCTTTTTCTCGTCGACGGTTTTGTAGGAGCTGCCGAATACCTCCGCATAACTGGGCACAATTGGCATCATCACAAAGTTTGGCTTAATCGCCTCGCACGTGGGCGATGTTGCTGATGTTACTGTTGCTGGTGTTGCTGTTGCTGGTGTGGCTGTTGCTGGTAGCAGCGGCATTGTGGCCTCACAAAACGAAGGTGCCTGCGGTGTGACCACATTCTCAGCTGCCGAGGCTGGAGGTGCTGATGTTGCAACTCCTGGATGCTGCAGCTCCTGGCCGCTCCTCTCCTGCTTATTGAACACATTAAACACACTCGGGTAGACAATCAGGCAGGAGGACTGGGGCGACTTCTGCAGCAGCTCCAGAGCCGCCTCGTAGCTGGGCAATCCGGATACCAGGGTGTACTCCGGCACCGGATCCTCCGCATCCGGACGCAGTTTCAACGCCTCTATATCCACAACGGTGCACTGCGTCGAGCCATTGGCATTGTTGTGATCTGCAAAACAAAGAACAATAATTGTTTATTAGTATTTGCATTCGTTGGAAATGGACTGGAAGGGGCTGACTGAGATTAATAAAGACCTCGACCCAGTTGCAATATTACAATATTTTCTGCTCGCATTTGTTTTCCCCTATTTGCTGGCTTTCATTGCCAGTAACTTTTTTAAATATTTTCTCTTCACTGCATTCTTTTCATAATTGCCTTGGCACCGCTTTCGCATTAAACATGAGGTAAACGAATTTCTCTGAAATTTTTGCAGCACTTTCTGAATTATTTTTCGTTGGCAATGTGCTAATTTTTTCAAGGCTTTGTGTCCATTTTAGCGGCATCACGAATTATAGAAATTTGGAGTTCTTAAACCTTGCGAGAGGTAACGAAACACTTTGGCTTTACGACCCGAAAATGCCTAGACATAATAATACGAATCATTAGAGATGTGGAAGCACTTAAGGCGGAATAAAACACGAAAAGATTTCCACTGTTAATGGAGTATTTCCCTGATGACGGTCGAAGTCAGGTCACCTAATTTCGACTATAAAAAACACTTTATAATGGCTCTAAATTTTAACTTGTTTTTGTGACGTACATTCCGAGTACTTTTTGGCAGTACCGGCTAATCAAAACACTCGATAAGATTTTAATCTACAACGAGGTCAACAATTTCCCATTTCAAATGCGGAATACTTACAATTGCGTTTCCAGGTTCGGAACTGGTGGTACAGGAAGCAGGAGCAGATGCAGAAGACCATCGAGATGAGGATCAGGGTGAAGACGATGCCGATCCAGACCTCGTTCATGAATTTGTCGTACTCCAGCTGCTGCTGCAACTGGCCCACACTGCTGCTGTCCAGAACCACCCGGTTGGCCAGATCAAAATCCATTATCTCTTCGCTGGTGGAGTTCCTCGGATGGTTAATTTCGTGTAGCTGGTGTTGATGCTTCAGTTGAATGGAGCTGAGGATCTGTTGGCCAATCTGTTTCAGGAAATCACTGCCCGAAATGGCATCCAAAGTGGTGATCGTAGGCGTGGAGGCTTCGGGAGAATTCCTCCCGCTGTTCAGAATCTTCTGGGCGGCTGGACCGGCGTAATGGTCGAAATGCAAATCGTGCGAGAGCTCGTAGTTTAATGCGCGCGGCAGGCTCTCCATGGTTTACTTTTATATTGGTCGGCAGGCGCGTAATCTCTATCTCTATCTTTTCCTTGTATCTGTGTCTCCGGTGCGGCACACTTTCACTGTTTCGATGGCGGTATCGGTGTCTGTATCTCGTGGATCGTTCTTAATCTGCGGTTTCTTTTAACGAACGCACACGTCCGTCGACGTCTGAGTCCACAAACAAACTGATTTGAGCGGCCGATCCGATCGAGCGGTCAACCCGAGCAGCTCTACGAGTTTAACTCCGTTCCACTCAAGAGAGAACCGGAGAGCACATCCGAATCCAGATCTACCTGGCCAACATCTCGATCACTCCTCTCTTTCTACTCATTTGCCGCTCGGTTACGCATCGCCGAGAACGTTCTCTCGCCGTGAAACGATCTTGTATCTTGTAATTTCAATTCCCGGAGCGCGTCTTTGTGCTCCCACAGAAACAGACAATGCCCTGAAATTATGGGACCATAATTGGCGTTACAAAGCGGCGCACATGTTGCTCAAGCAGAAGAGAGGGAAGAGGAAGAGGGAGAGGAATCGGGATAGGGATAGGGATCGGGAAGAGAATGAGAGAGAGCCTCTAAGCATCGATCTTCATTTCTCCGCTGGCTTCTTCGATTTCGGTTCGTTTTGCAGCCGGGCAAATGACATATCTCCAGTTCCTTGCAGTCGGAGAAAAAACATTAAAATACTTTCAAATAGGAAATTACAAAGTATATTATTTGGCTCTAAAATAATATGACTTTTTTACAGGCCTACAAAATGAGTTAATAATACTTTAATAAGTACCGAATATATTTGTATTTGAATGTTAAAAATGTTAAAAGCAATGATATACATTATGTTCTTTCTTGAGAACCATATTTATCTTTTAAAGAATTTCAGTTCATCTTGGCTAGAAAATTTTCAAAAGAAATTTAATTAGGATGGGACTGTCAATTAGATTAGCCATTATTGTCAGAGCTAGCGTAATATTTACTCTGTGTACCAAAAAAATAGGCTTCAGTGATCATTTAAAAAAAGATGTGTCAAACAAAACTATACTGACAATTTTGCTTTTAGAAAATTAAAAATTAATTAGATTCATTCCATATATGGTATATAGCTTGTATTTATTGTTTAGCTGTTCTAGAAATATTTATCCTAAATTCATGGAACATCTTTCCTCTGGGTGTACAGTGCAGTTCTTTCCTCCACATTGCCCAAGGTGGAAGAGAAATTATTGCTGTAGGATAATGTGTTTGTGGGACTGTTGTTGCCATGTTGTTGTTTTTGTGCCCAAAGGGGCCCGAGACTTCTCTGGTTCTTCTTCAATTTTTTTTTATTTTTCCCTTGGTTTGGTGGAGTTTTAAATTACAGCTACGTGCAGATATCTTATTTCGGGCAGCAATTTTGTGGGCGATGCGATGATCACCTGGCTTTGGGTTGATCACTTTTTGGCGATAGCAGCAGGTAGGGTTAGTTCTTACTTCTTGGGAATGGAACCGGGATTGGGAATGGGGATTGGCACCGAGGATCGAATAGATACAACAGTTCTCCATTTACGGGATTGATGTGTGTGTAATTGGAGGATTCCTGGATGTGAAGGGGATGCTGACGGGGGATTATCCCTGCAATCAAAGAGGCGCAGAGCAGGGTATGACATAATCTTGCGTAAAAATGGAGATGGCAACGGGATTATCTCATAGGTTGTCAATGGAAAATCTTAAGTTTTACAACATATTCTGTAGATGAGAAATATTTAAAAATACAGACTGTCTAGTAACGAGAAGTAGTTCTGTTCATTATATATGGAACGAATTTCCCACCACGCCTTAGCTTTACACATTGATAGAGCCCCGTTGATGGTAAAATAATTTTCAAATTATTTCCTCAGACCCATAACAGACCAATAAATCAACTAAAATTCTATAGCCATCCCCTAATAATTAACTATAAAGAACCCCCTCCGAAATGAGTTGCCATTTCCCATTACGATGCCCCCGTCGATAAAAATCACATAAATACAAGCACTCAAAACAAGCCGGATAAGATCAGCACCCGCTCGAAGATGGAGGAGAAATTGCTTTTCAACAAGACAGCGTCTAAGATAAATCTCGTTGCGATTCACAAAGGGTTGCCTATGGTCTCGGGACTCTGGATTCCTGATGAGCTCATCGAAGAGCGGCCAGAAATGAGCATTCCTTATCACGATCGGCTAATCTCGCCGAGGAAATGAATCAGCGGAGGTTGGGGAGATTAGCAAAATGCCGGAGGTTGTCAGTGGGACGATGACGTCTTTTCAGTTCACTCAGAGGCCGGGGGAATTAGGCGGGTATTCTTTTCCGGTTAGTGCGGCTAACCCATATGGGGGGACGAGGACATTCCATGCCAATCCTATTCTCATTCCCATTCCCTAGCATTCTAGATGCCCGCCCATCTATGCCAGGTATGCAGTTCTTTTGCAATCAACTGTCACGGACCGTGAGAAGAGACAATGGCAATTTAATTAAGCAGGCTAAGGCCCGCCTTGGGTTTTCTTGGGCCTTAACCTATTCTCGGGGTAGTTCGGTAGCTTCTGCCCTGAAAGACGGCGTACATGTATCTGGGTTCCTTCACATTGTGGTCTTGTCTTCGCGCCGCTTTCTTTTTCTTTCTTTGCACGTCGGCTTAGTTGACCGACTTGGGCCAAGTAGCTTTAATTTAAGACCCTAATGAGCCATTTAGGCATTCTGGGCTTTGTGTCTTCAATGCCGACTACTGTGTGTCTCCCTGCCCGCGAACAAAAGTTAAATTAATGAGTCCACGGCCAGTTGGTGTCTTTAGTCTTTGGTCTTCGGTCTTTGGTTTTTGGGGGCCTCTTTTTCGAATGCGGGTGATGCTCAGATGCTCTGATGCAGATAAAGCTGCTTAATTTTTCACTGACTCCGAGATCGGGGTCTTTGCGCTGCTTTGCATAATGCAGCCCCGCCACCGAGCTACAATTTTTACATAGTTTATTAATTTTTCGG